TAGGTTGTGGTGTTCAGACGAACTTCACCAACGGTACTCTACATAGTCTCAGAGTCGGAAAAAATTTTAGAAGGTAAACGTCCATATCCTAACTATAGATTCCGCTGCGTTAGGATTTATTTCAATAAAGTTCAATACTGTGCATGTTGTTTGACGTTCCTAACAGAACCCAACAGGGGGAAGACGAGTGGGTCGGTCTTAATTTATGTTTTTATGATTATGCTTCCACTATGAATAAAGTGTGGTCCTTGAGACGTGTTGAACTGTTTTCGAAACTTGTCCTTTTTGGGATTATCGGACCCTTTTGTTTAGATATTCACATTGGAGTTATTTATTGAATATCATATGTTTTCGATTATGCATGCTATATTGTTTAGTTAATAATCATGTGAAATTGATGTTTTAAAGGTTAATGAAAACCATGTGAATAACTAGATACGACTTGGTTGATTTTAAATGTTTGAATAACGCCCATGTTTTCCAAAACGAGTTCAAAAAATTATGTACTGATTTTTGGAAAGTCCGAAATTTCTTTAAAATCAAACTGGGGTGTTACATTTCACAGCCAATTCACTAGTGTTAGGCCACAAGAGAAGTCGTATTTAACCTTGATGGGCTTACAACAGAAAGAAGGCGAATCGAAACGATATTATGTGGCGAGATATACACGAGCGTGTGTCGATGTGCCCAGGGCTTCAGAGGAAATAAAGGCGGGAGGTTTAACTCGAGGGTTGTTGTAAGGCTTTTGCAGGAATTCTTTGGCGAAGCGCCCGGGTAGAACGTTCAATGAGGTATTGGGGAGGTGCGCGAAGTACATGAATGCCGAGGAGGCAGAAGCCGACTTCTTGCAGGCAGCTAAAGCAATTAAAGCAGATAGTCGAGACAAGAGGAAGGAGAAAAAGAGTTCCTCTATTGGATAAAAAAGGGGTCCCCACGAGCAGAAAGAGAAGGGCGACCTAGAATTTGAAGGTCGACTCATTACACCCCTCTGGCGGCTCCCCAAGCTAGGATCCTAGAAGTCGTGGAAAGGGAGATTCACGACAATGTGGTGAGATGGCCCAAGATGAGGAATGACGGGCGGACGAGACATAAAAGTAACTTCTAATGTCGATTCCACAAAGATTATAGGCATAACACCGACGATTGCAGACACCTCAAAGACGAGATAGAGAGGTTGATAAAGGTCGGCCACTTGAAAGAATTCATATATAAAGATCGGGATAGGACGAGCTGAACGAAATAAAGGAGCAAAAGTCCTCGCAAGATGGCGAGATCACCCGAGAAAGAGGAGCTTCCTTGAAGAGGGGAATAATTCATATGATCTTCGACAGGCCGACGGACGGAGATTTGAATCGAGTAAGGAAAGTATAATCTCGAGGAAAACATGCTAAGGTCGAGGTACAGCAAGTCAACGAGGGAGGCCCAGTGATGAATTTCGGGCCAACAGACATAGGAGAGGTCGAGAGACCTCACAATGACGCTTTACTGATAGCCACCCAAGTGTCGGGCTATGAAGTGCAAAGGGTCTTTGCCGATACAGAAAGCTCAGTAAATGTAATATTCTATTACTGCCTCAAAAGAATGGACCTCGACATCGAGCTGGCACCCTTACACACATCCCTCTTTGGGTTCAACGGTTCAGAGGTCACGCCCTTAGGAAAGACCACGCTCGCCGTCGTACTAGGGGAAGGGGATTTGAGAAAAGTGAAGATGATAATATTTGTAGTAGTCGATGTCGAGTCGGCGTACAACGTGATCCTCAGGAGGCCGACATTGAACGCGTTCCAAGCTGTGGTGTCGACTTACCACATTAAGTTAAAATTTCCAGTCAGGGAT